GAAGACAATGAAAAAGAAAGGAGCTAAAAATAGGGGGGGAAAGAAACAAATTATTGTTCTTTGCAGATGATAGGACTGTCTACTGGGAAATCCCAAAGAATCCACTGAAAAACCATCAGAGAGTATACAGTTCAGTAAGATGAGTAGTTACAGACTTAAATACACAGATATCAGTAGTTTTCCTAGGTGACAGCAAAACCAACTAGGAAAGCTTTGAGCAAAGATTCTATTTAGAAGGAATCCATCAAAATCCTTGAGGGGAACACAGGCAGCAACCTCTTCGACCTCAGCCACAGCAACTTCTTCCTAAACACATTGCTAAAGGCAAGGGAAGCAAGGGCAAAAATGAACTATTGGGACTTCATCAAGATAAAAAGCTTTTGCACAGCAAGGGAAACAGTCAACAAAACCAAAAGACAACCGGCAGAATGGGAGAAGATATTTGCAAATGACGTATCAGATAAAGAGCTAATATCCAAAATCTATAAAGAACTTACCAAACTCAACACCCAAAGAACAAATAATCCAATCAAAAAATGAGCAGAAGACATGAACAGACATTCCTGCAAAGAAGACATCCAAATGGCCAACAGACACATGAAAAAGTACTCAACATCACTCGGCATCAGGGAAATCCAAATCAAAACCTCAATGAGATACCACCTCACACCAGTCAGGATGGCTAAAATTAACAAGTCAGGAAAGGACAGATGTTGGCAAGGATGCAGAGAAAGGGGAGCCCTCCTATACCTCCTATACCAACAGGTGGGAATGCAAGCTGGTGCAGCCACTCTGGAAAACAGTATGGAGGTCCCTCAAAAAGTTGAAAATAGAGCTACCCTATGACCCAGCTATTGCACTACTGGGTATTTACCCCAAAGGTACAAATGGAGTGATCCAAAGGAGCACCTGTATTCCAGTGTTTATAGCAGCAATGTCCACAATAGCCAAACTATGGAAAGAACCAAGAAGTCCAACAACAAATGAATGGATAAAGAAAATGTGGTGTATATATATACAATGGAATATTATGCAACCATCAAAAAATGAAATCTTGCCATTTGCAACGATGTGGTTGGAACTAGAGGGTATTACGCTAAGTGAAATAAGTCAATCAGAGAAAGATAATTATCATATGATCTCACTGATATGAGGAATTTGAGAAATAAGACAGAGGATCATAGTGAAAGGGAGGGAAAAATGAAACAAGATGAAACCAGAGAGGGAGACAAACCATAAGAGATTCTTAATCTCAGGAAACAAACTGAGGGTTGCTGGAGTGGAGGGGGGTGGGAGGGATGGGTGGCTGGGTGATAGACATTGGGGCGGGTATGTGCTATGGTGAGCGCTGTGAATTGTGTAAGACTAATGAATCACAGACCTGTACCCCTGAAACAAATAATACATTATATGTTAATAAAAAAAATTTTTTGAAAAGGACAACAAAAACCATGAAATATGTAAAAATAGAATAAAAAGACCTTTATGAAGAAAACTATGAAACTTCTCTGAAAGTCATAAAATGCTGTAAAGTTAATAATATAAACATGTCAATTCTTTCCCCATCACACCCCAGTTTATTTATAAATTTAATGTAATTCTGCCTGCCCATGGTGTTCTATTCTTTACTTGGATGTCTTGAATATTCTATTCTTAGATGTCTCTGAGACCTGAATATTTCTCTCTGTTTTTAGTTCATGTGAATGGGTTTCTGCTCATTGCAACACAATGACTAACTCAACCTAAGCTACCCTTTGTCTCTCCTGGGCCCATATATCATGGCCCTCAAATCCTCTTGGCACTCTCTTACATCTCTCTCCAAATGGGCTTTTGAAGCTTCTTGGAAAAAAAGGGAGGGAATTGCTTTTTTGTGAAGAGATTTTTGGAGATTTACCTGTCACAATACCAGATTTGACCCCACTCAACGTCTCTTTCCCATTAACTAGCTCAGTAACCATGACCATTAGTCCAGACTCACAAGAGAAGGATTCTGATTGGCTGAGTCCACCTCTTGGGTCAGGTGCCCACCACTGGCCCAAATGGCTATCACCAAGAGAAGCCAAGTCCCATGGAAATTCTGCATCGGGGTTGAGTCAGGAAAAATGTTGTTGCCACTGGACTCAATGATGGACTCTTTACCACATGGGTCTGCCATCACTGTCTTTCATGTACTGGACATCCTACACTCAGCCAGACACTCAAGTACTTTATCTCATTTTAAATTCCTAACATTTTCACATCCACCTAAGTACACTTGATCATCACCTTGCTGGTAAGGAAAACTGCTGCTCCAGTAGGTAACTTCTCTGCAGTCACCTGGCCGACTCAAAGTCAAAGATCAATTCTGTTCCAAGTCTCAAGCATTGAGTCCTGCCTCCTGGCCTGCCCAAGTGTGGATGACAGAACCACGTGTCCCGGGCTGGGATGTACTAATACCGGGCGCCTCTGCAAAGCTGAGCATCTCCTTCTCCTGGGCCTTGCCCGGACCCTTGTCCACCAACCAACCCCAACAACCCACCTTATTTATCTAGTGACTCCCATCATCTTTCCAATCATTGCTGGGGTAGCAGTTTCTCAGGGAAACTTCAGTGATTCTCCAAGCCTGGATGAGCCGTCTCAGCGCAAATCTCTCCATTTTATCATCTGTTTTTCTGGGCCTCTTCCCCACCAGCCTGCCAGCACCTTGACAAGGCATGGCCACGGCATTGGTACATACACGTGGTAGGAGTTCAATAAATATGTGTGAAATGAAATTGAGTTAATGATGCTCCAGCTTACTGACACTCTATGCATCCCTCCTTGGGCACACCCTGGGGAAGTTCCCTCCTCAGGGATGAACATTGCAGCCCATGGGAAGAGAAAGACCCTCCAAGCCTGGAGCCATAAGCCCCTTCTCCTTCTGGTTCCATGAGGCCAGAAACTCAACATACCTAATTCCCATGCAGAGGGGAGCACATGTGGATTCTTCCCCTTGCTGTTAGCTAGAGTTTGTTACTCTTATGAATCCACCTGGGAAGCAAAAAATTAAATTCATTCCCATGGCTCAAAGGAGGTCAGACATAACCTTGCCCTGTGATTGGGATGAGAGAGGTGTATTGGGGCTGTTGAGGGCCTCTCCAAACATGACAGCCCTGGTCTCCCTCTCCTCCTTCTGCATCAATGGGCCATTATTACTAAGGAGTGCTTCCCATCCCTTTGGAACATTGGAGAACATTCCCTAGATTCTCCAGCTTTGCATGGAGAGTTCCCTCTAGGGGGAGCATTCTTCCTGTAAAACCAGATCTGCTTCCAGGTGAGTCAGAGCAGGAGGAGACCCACACCAGCCATCAGGGCCATACACACTCAGGAAGGGGGCCACTACCTTTATGTGACAATACTCAGAGAATGAAGGGACAATGAGGGCACCAGAAGGATGGGGCATAGCGGGAATTCATCTGAATTATGTTCCCAACTTTCTTTACCTCCACAAAAACTACAGGAGCAGCCCATGTAACTTCTGAGGCATTTGCCCTGCTGTCTCAGGAAGCGTACTCTGGAGTGTCCCCTCGACCTGCTGTCCTGTTTGCAGTGAGTCCACAGCTTCCAGGAGCCCCAGGAAGCCCTGGTTGTTTGCTGGTACTGAAGCGGTCCTATTGAGTACTTCTCTAATTAGAAACCCATTAGGGAATCCCAGAGCCCACCCGCTATCTCTAACAGCCCCAGAGAATTGTTCAGTAGGAGGGATCTCCCCACAAAACACATTAGACACATATTCAGATGGAGTTTTTGAAACAGTTAATCTTCCCACGGATGCATCTTTCTTGGTCCCGACCCTTGTGGTCACAAATGGGGCCCTGCCAGAGTTGCAGCATGGGCTCTACCCCAGCCGTCCCCTGGCCCCCTTCCACCACACTTTATACCTGCACTCCCAGGCACAGGTGTGAGCAGGTGCACACACACAGAGCCTATCTCTCCTCTTTCCACCATTCTTCATGCTCCACCTCAATCCCTAGTTAAGGAGCTGGTAAAGGAAAGAAACTAGGTGACCCTGGGTGTTATACACAAATAATGAATCGTGGAACACTACATTAAAAACTAATTATGCACTGTATGGTGACTAACATAACGTAATAAAATAAAATAAAATAAAATAAAATAAAATAAAATAAAATAAAATAAAATAAAAAACACTGTGCTCTCACAGCCCCCCTCAGGATGCTGAAGACAAGATGCAACTTCCATATCAGCTTCTCGTGCCACAAAGCTCAAACAACAGCAAGGTTCAGTGGTTTGGGGCTCCTACCACCTGGGGCCCCAAGGCAAGGACCCAACCCCCTGGCCTTTACCCTGTGAAGCATCCTCTCCATATGATGGACGATCTCTCCTCCCAGGCTGTGGAGCCCCTTCAGGGTGTGTGAAACCATTTACCTGCAAGGATCTCAGAGGAGGGTATTCATTCTCTTGATGGGAGAGAAGCCAGACAGCTTCTCCAAATTGCAGGTTGTGGTCAATGATTCTAGCAAGTAGCAAATCACAGTGTAAGGAGCTCAGGGAGGTTGGGGGGCGGGGGGACCAGAGAGCCACGTTCCCTCTGGAGCCATGTAGGTGCAGAGAGAATGGCCTCAGCAGTGGGGGCATCCCCTTGGAGTTGTGAGATGCACCTGCTGAGCACATCTGCGTGACACATGCCAAATGTCGATGCTCCGCCCTCCCCCTTCTTGTTCTCCTGGGTGAGTCATAATTCCCCTGGGAAACTGGCTCTTTGGCACCCCAGGATACAGGGCTCTACTGCCATCATAAGAGGAAAATGCATTGCCAGTTGGGAGTTGATATTCTTCAAATGAGACAGGCATGGCAAAGAGTAGATCTCTTGTTCCCAGCAGAAAGGCTTCTCGCAGAAGCACCGTGTTTCAGCTCTAACTCTTAAGGGAAGGCGAAAACAGACACCTGCCCCACAGTCATCTATAGCAGTGGTCACTTCCCAGGTTAATCTAAAGGGAGAGACAAAGCAGACACTTGAATCACACATCGTAACTCCATTTTATTACAACATCAAGGAAAATAGTTGCAGGAGGAATGATACCAGAGATAAACAGAGATTAAACCACTCACAGTTGCATTGTCTACATCTTCCTATGAGGGAATAAATATCACGGGTCTCTGTACATGCATTGCAGGACAGGTGTGCATGTGTGTATCGTGTGCAGATGAATTCTCTCTAGGGTGTTGTTCTTTTAATTTCTTGACAGATGATGTTTGAATTCGGTGTCTTCTGGCAGACTAGGAAGGGGATCTTCCACTAGGACTGGGACCCAGCCTTTTTCTTCTGGAATTTTCTGAACTGAGACTGAATGGCCACAGCTGCGCGTTCTGTCTCTGGCGCATCCATGTCAATGTCGAATTCTTCTTGAACTTTCTTCTGCCCATCTGTAACAGGAGAAAACACAAAGGTGAAGCCCTCACTGAGTTGAGAGCAGGAAGGCAGACAGCCACCAGTAACCACGTGGCGTGCACTCACCATCCCCAGCATAAGACCTGGTTTGCAGAGTAGAGCATGTACTGACCCCCATCAGAGCCCAGGATTGGCTGTTCTCTGCCTGCCCCAACTCTACACTTGCAAGAGACCGTGAAACTCAAGAAGACAGTCCCAACCCCTCAGATACTTTCTGTACGTGATTTTCTGTGTCTCATGGCCACGTATCACATGGTGTTAAAAATATTAGCTGTGCTTTGACTTTTTCCTGATAACTTCATAGAGACAGAATTTAAATAGTGCTACAGATATTGACCCAATGGGGGACTGATATTCACAAGAACTCTGGGTCAAAGTCACTGAGTTTCTGCGTATACTTCCATTGCCAATGAGATTGCTGATTGAATAAGGGCTTCTGTTTCTATCATTGTCACCAATGGATGACCCCATTTGACCTTCACAATTTGGTTGATCTTCCACAGGTCTTACATTCTGTTTCAATGAGGGAGACTTAGCAATATGCTTGCTAAACTGGAAGGATTTAACTAATTCACACTGTAACAATTATAGAAAATAAGATATAAGCCAAAGCGAAGTGAAAGCACATACTGATTGTCCCTTTTCACTGGGTACCAGCATCAATTTCTAGTCAAACATAAAAATGAATAAATAAATAAAATCCTCTAGTTATAAAAGGGAGGCATTGTTACAATTCCTTCAGTCTGGTGAAAGTTAATCATCACAATTGCCAAAGCATCTTTTTTAAGAACATACAGATTCTGGCTGCTCAGGTCATGATCTCAGGGTCCTGGGATCCAGTCCTGGGTGAGGATCCCTGTTCAGCAGCGAGTCTGCTTCTCCCTCTGCCTCTGCCCCTCCCCCTGCTTGTGCACACACACACACACACACACACACACACTTTCTCTCTCAAATAAATAAATAAAATCTTAAAAAAAAAATCATACAGGCCCGGGACCCCACTCCAGACTCAGGGCTTCTGGTAGCAACACCAAGTCACATGCATCTGGGTCAGCACCAGACAGCCCTACTTTTATAAAAGGCTCTAAGATGATTCCAAGATACCGCCAGAGTTGAGACTCAACTACTTTGTCTACAGATGAAGCACCCAATAAAGCCCTAGAGTTAGCTCAAGGAAGAACTGGGGACAGGACCTACCCCATAGCACTTGGGTCAAGACCTCACTGCCACCTGGACTTGTACCTGGAGCCCAGCAGTGTGCCAGGCACATGCAGCTCAGGATGGGAATGTCTGGGGCATTTGAGGCAGGGACAGAGCTCTACTCCTGACTTTGTCACCAGGCAGCCTGTGTCCATCATTCACTCACTCAGCAACTTTGGATAATAATGTTCAGGCAGCATCCCTCACAAAGAGGGTGGAGGACGTGGGATCATTTCAAGCGAGGCAGGCTTGTTCTCTCCTGCCTGCTCTGTTCTTTTTCTCCTAGAAAGAAGATAAATAGATGATGATGATAGATGATAGATAGATAGATAGATAGATAGATAGATAGATAGATGATAGATAGATAATAGATAATAGATAATGGATGGATAGATAAATAGATAGATGATAGATAGACGATAGATAGATAGGTAGATAGATAGATGATGGATAGGGAGATAGATAATGATAGATAGATAGATAGATAGATAGATAGATAGATAGATAGATGATAGATAGATAGATGATAGATAGATGATAGGTAGATACAGATAAATGATGATAGATACATAGATCAGGATATAAATATATATGAGTTGCACCTTATTTCAGGTGCATCTGGTTGTGTGACATTCCCTTTGCAGACCCTAAGCAGACTCCTGTTAATTTTCCCAGAGACTAAGCTGGTCACCTAGATCCCTCCAATCACACCTACATCTGGGAGGAGAGGACAGAGGCTTTGCAAGCCTTGCCAGGCTGATGCATCTGTAACCTAAATCAGTAGACCTGTTTTCCTCCATGCCAGACTGGCTGCCGATGCCCATAAGAGCACTGAATTTAGAATGCCCCAATGTCCAGGGAATATTTGGGGGACCATCTTTTTCTAACCCATGAGAGCCCAGATGATACAGAGGACACGGTGGGTTTGCCTGGCACTGCATCAGTGCATTCCCATTTTAACAGCATTGCAGGGAATCTATAAGGAATAGGGCCATTGGGCAGGGCGGGGAGTTCCATGAGGCTCACACCAGTACCTTAAACACATTTCTTTAGCATTATTGCATAAGCCTGGAATGGCACAGCGTCTGGCAAGCCTGAACTGTGACCAGCTGCAGCTCCCGGGCTCCCAGCGATGGACCCTCCATACCAACCACATCGGCTTCAGCACTAGGACTTGTCATAAGATGGTTCAGAGCCCCAAATTCTCTTCCTCCCTGAGGAAACCCTTGCTGTCATTCAAGGGGACACAGAAAACCTCGGTTTTAGATTTAAAACGTGCAACCTGAAGGTTTTGAACAACCTGATTCATCTTTCTCCTTAATAATAATGAAGAAAACAGCAATATTATTTTTTGACAAATGATAAAAGAAGTGTGGAAAATTATGTACATTTAAGAAACATATGAGATTGTGAGGATGGATCATAAAAATAAATTTCACAATCATCTCTGAAACTAATATCTTCAGCTGAAAGTGATTTATACATTCCTCCCACGTTAGAAAAATATTACAATGTTTAAAAAGAAAGCACTAATAATTCAGGAATTTTTACCTTCTGTTTACTTGGCAGAGTCGGGCATTCCCTAGGGAAGGTCTGACACTGTGACTCCTTCCACCGAGATTCACAAAGCAGAGGAGGGGGCCCCAGAATGTGGTGGAGAAGGGGCAACTATTAGATTTGGTGGCACAAGGTTCACCGCTGATGACACAAGGGTCTGCAGATGACTTGTTGTGGTCCTGAGACTAGGAAAGCAGGGCTCAGAGCATCCCAGTCTCAGCAGGAGGAGGCTGGGAGGGGCCACGACAGAGCCTCTGTGGCTCCAGCTGAGAGGCACCGTCCACAGGTGGCTTAGTGAACAAGATGCAAAACGTGGTCACATTGGAGTGACATAAGGAAGCATCATTTAATGGAGGGGGTCTGCCACAGGGAATGGTCAGGGCCTGGAGAGAGAGAAAGGCGTCCAGGGGTGGGCACCTTCAGATACACAGCTCCTGAGAAACTCCCACTAAGGGTGAGCTCTGGGTGGGCTGCTAAGCCCGTCTATGCCTAAAACAGTGCCTGCCATTACCACCTGGCCAGTGAATAAAGGAAGGGCAGCCTCGCATCAAACAGGCAGTGTCCTCCAACCTTCTCTGGGATAAGGCTGACTCCCTCCTAACCCTCCTGGTCCCAGTGAGGCACCTGGCAGAAGCAGGTAGAGTGATTTGTGGGGGGCGGTGTCCTACCGCTCTGTGACTCTCAGGAAGGTTCATAGCTTCCCTGGGTCTCAGTTTGCCCATCTCGAAAATGAAGAGGTAAAATCGTTTTTAAAAGTCAGTTCCATGTAGCCATCGGTGTTACGTGCAGATCAGGGCCATATTGTAAACTGAACCACTGGCCCAGTGGTACTGAGCAGGATGTGCCAGAGCTGCAAAGCAGGTGGACGAGGGTGTGAGCAGTCACATGGCTCCCCAGCCCCCAGGCCCTGCACCTGCTCAGACTCTCGGATGTTTGGGGCCCACTGCGGAGGGGAAGGGAAGGAACGCTTTCCAGGAGGGCCAGCCACACGGCCATCACATGCAATGAGGCAACGGCGCCGAGGGGTCGGGCCCTCCCCAGCTTCTTGGATGGCAGGTGGCGTTTGCTGGGCCTGTGACTTCACGTCCTTGTTTAGCAGCACAAGGCCCAGAGGCTACACAGAAAGACAGGTGCAGCCCACGACTCACAGGTCATGTGAATATCAACTCAGCAGTCCCCAGTCACCATCGCTGGGAGGCACTGAAGGGGCCTGAGCCCTCTTCATGAGGGGCAGTAGATCTAAATGAGCAGAGGAAATATGTGTGCTCTTGTCATCTCCAGACCACCCTGTGCTTTCCCAGATGCTTCTGCTCGTCGCTTCAAAAAGATGTGTGCAGGCTTACAGCTGGGCAGGGTGGACTCTCTACCTGACATTTGTATCCAGGATCCCAGTAAGCAAAAGGCATAGGGACCCTGTTCCTGGTGATGGCTTTCCACCAGCCTGAGCGAGCAGTATTTCACCTGAGCACTTTGTAACCTGCCCATTATTGCATGGTTGCTATTATTCATAGCTCTCTGCAGTACAGAAGTTTTATCATTTCATATCATAGCATTTCATATCATTGTGCATCCCTCTGTGAAGACATTCTGAAGCTGACCAGGAGAATGGCCAAGACGTTATTCATACCAATTAGCTGGTTATAAAAGCTAGTGAGCCAACTCCCCTGGAGAATGGGAGGGAACCCGACTTCCTGACCAGGAGCTGTGAGGGGCACCCTCATAACTGCAATGTCCTGTGAGCCCAGGTAGGCGGGAAGCCCCCACAAGCTCCTCAGATTTCACCCAGCTCTAACAGGCCTGGTCTCAAAGGTACGGGGCAGTCTGAGTCATTACTATCCACTGCATTATCTACCTGCCCTTCCATTTGCCTCCCCTCCAATCTGTGTGTCCACCTCTCTTCTCTCCCCACTTCTCCTGCAGAACCAGCTGCACAACAGTCCCAAGCAACGAGACTTTTCTCCCTGGGAAGAAACTTCATCAGACAACCGAGCCCAGCCACTGGCCAGCACCATGAGCACTGATGCTCCCCCAGGCTCGGGAGTCTCATGATTCAGTGCTGCCCTGACCTGCTCCCCAGGAAGGAACCCAGGGCTATTCTGTAGATATTTCTTAAGCCATTTTCCTGAAATACTGCCTTTTCCTTGCAAAAACTCAGAGGGGAAGTGGCTCTGCTGTTTTGGATTTTATGATGCCATAAGAGAGATGTTCAGGTAGCCGT